ATTCTCTCCGGGAACTCCAGCTTCCTCCCACTCTCCAAAGACCTGTGGCTTTGGTTGATTGGTGACTCTAAATTGCCCGTAGGAGCGAATGTGTTTGTGTGTGGTTGTTCGTCTGTGTGTTGGCCCTGCGATGGACCGGTGACCTGTATAGGGTGTACCCCACCTTTCGCCCGATGCCGGCTGGGGATTTTCCAATATATATATATGATGCATGATACATTTTTTGTTATTGAAGTTATGAACAATTTAGTATCAAACAAATATGTGGTGCAACAGCATCATGACTTCGCTGAAGTGAGCCTAAAATACTCAAAGGCATGATGCAAACTACTAACTTACTCTTGTGAATGTCACACTCTCACACACACACACACACACACACACACACACACACACACACAAAGTGCCCTGCTCCAGGCTATGTTGTGCAGCCAAGAGAGTTGTCGGTAGAGAACGTGCCTGTCAGTGTTTCTGGCTGCCTGACTTTATCTGTCTGTTTGTCTGTCAGGTTGCCATTAATTCGAGGGATAAATTAATGTTTGCAAGTCCAGAGTTGAAGCCTTACAGGCTGTCTCAATGGAAACCTGTCAGCAGTGGAAATGTTTTACATTACAATTGTGCCATTTAGCTGACACTTATCCTGAGTGACTTTAACTGGGTGGAAAGTAAAATCAGCTTCAGTTTGTAGATCACCAAAACATAAAACCAAACAAAAGCCTGTTACAGATGTCAAGGCTTTGAGGCAGAGATCGTTCAAGAGTAAACTGCAGGGTGAAATAACAGAATAAGGCTTAATGCAAACAGCAGGGACCTCTCTACATATAGTTACAGCATCATTTTTAACTGATAAGAATAAAATGTACAACTGTGCATTGCATGTGCAAAACCCACATCATCAAATTTTCTTTTGAGGTTGTTTCTATGTTCGAGTGTTCATGCAAGGATATACAGTATGTGCATGAATGTGGGTCCCCCTGTGGTGAGGCTCAGCAGTTGTGTCACGCCTGAGGTGGAGGGAAGTGCCTGGGCAGGTTAACGTCTCCGAGTGCCACTGTCAGCCAGTTGTCTGTTGCTACCCTGCTGCCAGAAATATGACTCGCTAGCTTTGGCATGCAGCTACCTGGCAAGACAACCTGAGCCAGTTTTCAGGCTGAAAACTGCACAGCCGCTACATGGAGTTTGTTCCAAAATATAGAATGGAGCTTTAATGGCTCTGACCAACTGCTATTACCTTTGTAAAGTCATAAGTTATGTTCAGTTTTAAAAGTTCAGCTCAGTTGTTCAGATGTGGCATTTCTTATAAGGGAATATAAATAACACATTTTGATCTTGACAAATTAATTATTCAAGTTGAAAACCTTTACTAATGTACATTGTACAATTTATTCAGAACAAAATGACATAACAATCAATGAAAACCAAAATCATCAACCCATGGAGGGCTGGATTCAAAATCACACTGAAAATTAAAGCCACAGGCTCAATTGGATTTAGGTTAGATGAGGGCAATGGCATCAACGCCTTGGCCATCCAGGAGCTGCCTACACCTTCGGGCCACATGAGGCCAGAGGGCCTGAAAATAAGCCATCATTTTAACAAGTGTAGGTTTATTGGTAAACAATTAAGCGGCAAATTATCCCTGAAATCTTTGAATCATATATTCTGAGACATGATGAAAGGCCACTCTGCGGTGCTGGAGACTGTGCGGGCACCAGAGATTTAAACGAATGTGGGTAACTATGAGGGTCTGTGATCATGTGAAATGGTTATGAATAATCCAGACACACACACCAAACCCACTATTTTTACATACACATGGAATTGGGTTTGGTGTGTTAGACGGGTGTTTTTTGGTAGTTTTTATTTTCAGCACCTCTGAAGTAAATACTTCACATGTACTGTATATCACCAAGTCTTCCACACCACATCTACTGGTATAATGTTTTCAACACTAGTCCCGTCTTAAATGCTGGTCCAGAAAATCCAGATCAAGGACAAACACAGCAGCAATCAATGTGAGTTCAGGAACAGAACTATAAATAAAATGTCTTGAAAGAACGCAAAAGTTTACTATGATTGAATTTATGTTCCTCTGTATCCAAGTACCGAGAACATCATGAAGATGGTGACATGGGGAGGGACTGTCTGAGCACCGCTGTTTTTTCAGTGTTTATAAATCTCTCATGGCAACCTTCACCTTTCTTCAGCCAAGTTTCTCAGTGAAAGAACTGTACCACCCTTGTTGTACATGAAGACTATTCATTACATTCAGTGGAAAGTCCATTGTAGAGGGCTGCAAGCACTGACTGTTGAATGAAACCTGTTCATTATCTGCTGTGCTTATTAGTTTATTTAGTTCTATCTTGTGTTGTGTTTAAGAAAATTCAGTTTGAACTGAGACACATTTTCCAAATTGCCACAGACCGGAATGACAAATTCTGTGTGTGTGTGTGTGTGTGTGGGTGTGTGCTAGGGGTTGCTTTCCTGAGTAATTACATGTCTTTTTGTCAGCACTGTAAAGATAAACAGTGATGCAATTTCCCTACCTGAAGAGGGTCTGCTTGCAAAATCAGTCTTGTGAAACTCATGGTTTAAAAGGTCCTATGTTGTGTTGTTTGCAATTTGTGATCATTTTAAAACATGTTTTAATACAAGCCTGTTTTTTGACTAGTTTTATCTGTGCATGTGACAATGAACACAAAGTCCTCCAAAGCTGTTGGACATCTCATTCATTCAAGACTTCATTGTGCTGTAGTAGTAACCATTTTAAAAAAATGAACAGAACAAATGTGAGAATTTATTTTAAAAAGACAAATATCTGTAGTCATGTCTGCTTTCCTAGTGGTATTTTATTCTATAATAAAAATCTTCTGTTGTCCATTACACTAAGAACAAACGTCTCTACCTGGAGAACATTATTCATGCTTCAGGCCAAAACTCACTTCATGACCACCCAGTTAAAGAAATGTAATTCTCCACATTACAAAAACAGTTATAGACTTCTGTTTACATGTCAAGAATAAACCACATCTTCTCCTGTAATGGAGTTAATGCATTAGCTGGTTTGGGTTCGAGACTATATGTATGATTCAGTGCAGTTACAAAGTTCTGTTCCAGCAGAGGAGTGGATGGAAGAACAGAGCAGAAGACGCAGAAGGGGGAAAAAGAAATATAGAGAAAGAAAAAGGGTGCACTGAGAAAGTGGGCTAGGCTGCAGCAACCCGACAAGAGGCAAGAAAACAAGAGATGAGAAGGTAAATGTGTACAAGACAAAGGTGCAGCAAGTGAGGAGAAGGAGAAACAAAGCTGAAGACAGGCAAACAGAAATAAGGATGGGAGAAGAAGAAGAGTGATCTTTTTTCTGTCATTTGGTACAATAATCTGTAGAGTGTCAGGTTTGACTTGACAGGTGTAGCAGGAAAGCCTTTCAATAAAAGTGATTCTCTGCTGTAACAAAAATACAAATTTGGCAGCATGCATTCAGAGTTTTCTATCTCACTGCTTATTTTTAGTCAAATTACCTCACTGTGTTGACAGATAATGTACATTCAAACTGGCCTTTTGTTTAGGTTAACGACAGAATCAAGAAATTTAATCTAAAATCAGCACAGTCATGCAGTCGAACATACAGACTCATGAAACAAAGCTGAAAGTCAGAACTGCTGTATAATGAGGGTTAGTTAAGTGTGTTTAGCCAGGTGAAAACAATACTATGTCACCTCATAATACACTGAATCCACCTGTAAATTCACATCTCTGCTCTGTTCTAAGTTAATCACAGAAGAAATGAGAGCTTAAATTAATCCAGGAAGCCATGGCTCAGACTGACACAAGTTCTATTTCTTCACGTTCCTAACTGGGCACAGCAGTATAGACCTACTGACATGAGGACACGTCTTAAATATCTTATCTCTGACCCTAATGTTTAATTAAGGGACACAAAATTTATTGGATTTATATGGGAAGATATCAGTCAATCTTCTTTGCAGCTTTTATGGAGAAAAAACAAGACAAAATGTATTCCAATAGACAAAGAATGATTTCCATTAAATCCAACAGTATGAGAGACAAAATATTTCTCACTTTAATCCATTTTCCCTGAGTTTGTTAACGGAAAAACCATCACACTAAAGAGGGCAAACCCACGACGGGTTGCAACATCAAGCACCCAGCTGTTGATTCAGCAAACACACCTCTGTTTCAGCTGGGCACATACCTTGGTTAATACTCATCAATTTAAACTCACATAACTCAGGGTAAATTTTATAGCAGACTCATCGACACACAACAGTAAACTCTCCCACCCTGGATGCCGTTCTTCCAGAAGTGTGCCACGGTCTGTCTCCTCTCTTTGTTCATTATTCACACTAAGCAGTTCACCAGTTGCCCAGGATGGCAAGTTTAAATCATGTCAGCAAAACAGATTTTTACAGATGTTGTATTTCATTGCTTCATTTGTTGCCTGGTAAATTGGCTGAAGGTTGGACAGCTTCTTTGAAGAGCAGGGTGCTAAATTGAATTGTAGAGCTTTTTCCTCTTTAGGCTAGGTTGGCTCTTAGAGTGGAGTCATTTCCGTGTCTTTGTTTGAATATGAGTAAATGAAAATGCCCCATAAAAATCCCATCATTAGCTGAGATGGAACGAGGCTGTTACAGTTGTCAGCACAAAATTCATCAAGTAATCACTTCTCTAGTACAGACATGTCTTTACCACAAACACAGAGGCAGAGCCTGCTTGTTTGTCTTTAGGTGTGTATTGTGCCGTCTGTCTAACCGTCCTCTTTGTTTACGGCTCATTAGCACTGAAAGGAGTTGGACTAAATGCAGGAGGGGGGGGGACAATAAACTGGGGATTATTAGTCCATTTGCTGATTAGTTTCACTAAAAGACTGAGGACAGACAAGATTACATGTGGAGGGACAACTAGCCTCAACCGCAGCAGTAAAAAAGTACCAGCTTTTCTTTTCTTTTTTAATCTATTGTACCTGAAATAATCCATCCGCTGTCACAATTTCAGGACCACCCTGTAGAACATGCAGTATATCAAAAGCATAATAAAGCACAAGAACATGTATTGATAAAGAGCTGCAACATGCAGGAGGTCTGCTGCAGGTCTGTTTGACTCAGGAAGCCGACACAGCCATCAGCATGTTGCTGTCAGTGCTCTGTGGCGTGTCGGCTCAGAGGGGAACCCCGCCGAGAGGAAAGTCTGCTGAACAGCTCGTCACATGTGTGTGGAACTGTGTGTGTTCCTCTACTTGCTATGTAGTGAGGACCAAAAATATATTTTTTGCTAGCATGAGGACAGTGAGTTGGTTTCTAAAAATCATAACCACCTTACCTTCCTCTATCCCAGCACAGACAGAAACAGCTGATCTTCGTATCTGATCCGCTGCTCTCCTAACTCCTCTCTTCTCCCTATGTTTCTCCACCCAGTCTTGATCTCATTTCTGGCTTTGCTACTCTGCCCTCTGCTCTGTTCAGGGTCAGTGGCCTCTCGGCAGGACTTCCCATTAGAGGGATGAGACGAAGCTGGAAGCAAGAGGTTTCCTGCACCTGGTAAAATGTCCCTGCAGCCAGACAACAGAGTGCCTTCCTCCTTCCTTCTGCTTCTTTATAGGTGAATACGGACCGAACCAGACTTAGGAAGTGAACTGTGGAGCACTTACTGTCTCTGTGAGCGAATGAGGACAACGACATTCAGACAGATAATGTGCTTCACAATTCACTGAGTGAAAACAGAACCTCAATGAAATGTAAGCTACAGCTACAAGAAATCAAATCAAGCCCTGACTCATATATAGAGGGTCCACTGTAACATAATGAACAGCCACATTATTAAAGAAAAACCTAGCACAAATCGGATTTAACTACTTTTCACACAGATTCTTTGTCTTAGAAAATTGTTGTATGTTTGTGGCAAAGCAAGAGTTTTCATAACATTCCAGAAAATTGGGTCCTCTTACAGTGAGGACAGCTGAAACTGTGCTTCTGGTCAGAAAGTGTTCTAGCTGTGGGCTTGTTGACCAGCCAGAGCACATCATATCTGTTTAGTGTGTCTACCTCATCGGAGTCTGTGCCCCTCCTCCACCACCTGTGTCAAGGCACTGTCTCCCTGAGGGGAATATCTGATTGACAGCTATTTTAAAAAGAGTTCTGCTGACTGACAACATCATAGTCTTTTTTTTTTTTTTATTAAAGCTGCTGTTCACTTGTGGTGTCATTCCTGATGGAAATATTAGTTTGTTTTTTTCTGTGTGTTTAGACTCTGACACCCACCTAAACAAGCCTTTAGGGTTCCTGCTTTCCTCTCCCAGTTCTGCCATTCTTCCCTTTGCAATCTCCTCCGTTCCTTTCCACGTCTTCCACGTCCTCTCGTAACTGAATGAAGGTTAAGCACATGCACACTTATCTGAGTTTTGAAGAGTAGCAGGATGTTACATAATCTACTCCACCATATCAGTATTTCCCATTTTTCTTATCTTGGCGGTCAATCGGAATTTCAACTCGGATGGGTCTACCGCTTTGCTGATGTAATTTAGATTGCTCCCCCAAGGGGAGGGATGGTGTCTCAGTAGGTTAAGGTACAAACTGTGTCTCGCTGTATCTGCAATATTACAGATTTGAATCATGTTTTTCCTCATCTACACCCCTTTCAACATGCCTGTTTCCTCCTCCTTCTGCACTTCTCCACTGTTCACCTTCACATTCGACTTTCACTCTGCAGTTCATGATCTTTAATGTCTCTCCATCTCCATCCCATCTTTCCTGTAATTCCTTTATACCACCAAATAATCAGATATGCTGGTAAATACCCACATTCATTCTTTAGACAAGACTGAGATGTCTGAATCCCACTGGATGAGGAAAGTAACTTCTTATCTCTCATCAGTTTGTTTTGTTTTACTTTAATGAATAGTTTAATCTGAATATTCACCACTATCCTCACTACATCAGCCATGAGAAGAGGAGGAGGAAGAGGAAGCACAGAAGACTTAAGTAACTCATATTTATCTCTTTGTGCTGCAGCACTGAATTATTTTCCACAATTGAATGAGAAAATGACAAAGCCATTTTGGGTTAATTAGAGACTTGACCCTGTGGCGAACAGGCTGCCCGGTTTATCTCCTTCTCTAACAAGCGTGTGGCTAACAACCGTTTAAAACACCACTTATTTACATTTAGAGTGAATCTTATGGCCCCTGCAACCTTTGAGAGAAACTTTACAACTCAGAGTTAAAAAGAAACAAATGAGTTTAAGTGCTGGCTTCTTAAAAAGTAATTAACCCATTTGTTCGAATGTCACAGTGTGTGAGATATTTTTTTTAACACCAAGTGAAGGTTTGATTAGACATGTCATCAGTTTGTCATCCACTTAGGAGTATCTGTCCATTTCATCTTGCTGCTGTGTCCGGAGGCAAATTCCCATTTCTGTAGCTAGATTGGTGAGTGTGAAATCAGAAAGTTAATGTCAAATAGCTGTGTGAGAGACAGAGATGTGTT